CACCGCCCGCGATGTAGTAAACTTTTCCGGTGGAGATTTGTATATTCTTTGTGGTGGTCATGGGACGTTGATCGATATCGAGCACCAAGCGATTGCGCGCAATTGTCAATACGAACGAATGCCATTTTCCATCGTTGAACTGTTCATCATAATTGTCCAGTATAATGCGTGGCTTATCAGCAAGTTTCATATCCAGTTTAACTTTTCCATATTCCAAAAATACGCGGATGTAGCCACCTGAGGCAAACTCATGATGCAGCATTACACCTCTGTCCTCGTACGTGCGGAAGTAGAAAGAGACATTCATTGAGTTTTGTCCCTCATAGCCTTTTATGCGCACATAGGAGGCGCGCGTGGTGAAAGTGACTGGGTAAATAGGTGGCGATGGGCAGGCATAAACGGTGTGGTATTTAGTATAGCGATATGCATCACCATACTCGAAGCTATCCTTCATCGCACGCACGAAANTAAATTAGTCGCTTTTTGAGGAATAAATTAGTTATCACTTTCACCACATACCGCACGATTCAAATTCAGCCGCGTAAACTCGCCCTTAATGCGCCCACGCACAATAACGCGATCCACAGAGAAGATGATATCGCGTCGATTGCGTGATATCACCACATCATGCCAAACATTATCATCCAACAAACTGCCAACCGACAGCGAAGTCATCAAACTGCTGCCCAAATCCAAATTCAATATCATTTTGTTATCCTTCAATTGCAAGGCGAAATAGTCGCCCTGTGTGCCGCGTGAATACATGAGCACGCCATTGGCGAATGCGGTTTTGAAGCGGAAACGTATTGACTCGCGTGTGGAAGCAACCGGCTCATATTGCAGATCATAAGTGACCAAACCGGTGCCATTGAAGTATAAATTTTCAGCGACTAGAAGGAGAATAGAAAAGTATTAGAGTTTTTTCCTTGAAAAAATAAAATAAAAAATAAAAAATTGTCGTACAACTCACCATAATCGCAGCCATAGAGTTCAACACGCATCGAAATCCGATCATGCCAGCGTGTTGGATTGATGCGCACCCATTGAGCAATGATAGGCACCTCGAAAACATTATAGTGTATGGAATTGCCATCGGAATTGCCCTTGAACATCTGTAGAAGTATTTCACAAGTTTTTTTGTGTTTATTAGTTGTGGCGAATTTGCAGTTTGTGCAACATTTAAAACCAAAACCAAAACCAAAACAAAAGTGAGTGTAAAGGTGTACATGCAGTGAGTCTTTTGTGAGGCGATATCTACTTTTCACCGGCAGTGTGCTAAGCGGTATGCAAATGTTAAAGTGTAATACAAGAAAATAACTCCAAAAGCAAATATATTATTAAGAGGTTCTCAAAAATTACATATAAAAACCAAAATCAGTTTGCCTAAATGATTTATTTACACCACACTATTCATTTTGTTTATAAACATACAAACATACATATGTATAAGATCTCCGGGTTCGGTAAAAAAAAAAAATTTAATTAACTTTCCTTTTTTTTTAAGTAATGGTAAAGATGTTTGGGATGGTAATGACAATGGTAAGGGCATTGGCATTGGTAATGACAATTATACTTGCTTTTGATAATGGTAATGGCAATAGTAATAGTAATTGTTGAGGTAATGGCAATGGTAATGGCGGTGGAAATGGTCATTACAATGTTAACTTCGATGATAATGGTAATGGTAACGGCAATGATAATTTTAGTGGCAATGATAATGGTAGTAGTATTGGTAATGGTAATGGTAATGAAAGTTGCAGTGACCAGATGGCAATGACAATGGTCGTATTATTGGTAATGGTAATGAAAGTGACAATGACAGTTGCAACGATAATCATGTTTCATGTATTGCTTCTGCTTTCGCTTGTTTTTCTTTAGCGATCGTAATGACACTTGTATTGTTAACGATAACGGTAAGTTAATGGTTTTTGATGTATGCCTCAACTTCTGCTCTTGATGGCCAAGGCCTCAACACCTGGATTCAATATCACAATGAACAATAACTACAAAATACTCTCTTTTTAGGATGAGTACTTAATGATATTTACATAGTTTACATTCATTTTGAATGAGTGATATGCGCCAATGGACACCATTTCCGGTCCGATTGAAGTAACAACTGATATCATCAAATTCCCATGAAACCGGACTGTTTCGAAAAATCTGGGTTGAATAAAGGTGGCCTTCGAAGAATTTGAGTAATAGAATCCCAGAAAAGATTAGTAGAGGCGGCAATTATCTGCTTTTTAGACAAAAGACGACTGAGTGCTACAAATTATTCGAATTGGAAACTCGAATAGATTATACGACGCTGGGCCTCGGCTATGGCTGATAGCAGTTTTTTCGATTGATTTTATTCGTGCATACATTCCTAAAAATTTCGCATATACTGTGTTTCTGGAATTATATTTAATTTACGAGAATTCTATTAATTTCTCTTGACACGAGCGGACATAAGACTTGCTGCACCCAAGGCGATTTCATATAAGATGGTAGTGGTAGTCCAAAAACCAAAAACTAACATGTATTTTGTTTTTGCTTTCGATACACAAATGTCAAATTTCAGCTATTCTTCGCTTACCTTCGCACCACTCATAAGGACTTTTGACATAAGTGTACAGAGGCGAATTAAAGCAGCTGTTCTACCAACACCATCTTATAAGAATTCGCCTTGGTTGCACCTTTTCAAGAGAATCTGAGAAACTTGCAGATTTTTCGTATAGTTCTAAAAAAAAGCCGAATGAAAAGTAAACTATGCAAGCAAATTTTTATCTTTTTACCAATTTTCTTCAAATTTTGTTAAATCTTCAAAATGATTCCTACAAGTCCTAAACGTCAAGATATAAGGCCATTATTTTACGAAAAAAGTACATCCATTTTTTGTAACCATGATTTTAAAATTAATATAAAAACTACAAACAAATGATATAAATTTTTTAGGTACATTCTGTCCCGTTTGGACACAAGTATGCTGATATTCAGTAAGCCGGTCTCATCTCAAGTCGATAAATTTTAGACTACTAGAATTAGTGACTATTTTTGTTGATCGAGTTCTCGGGCAGCGGATTTTTCTCTTTTTGTTTATATATATATATATATTTTTTTAATGATGAGGGTTATTTTTTCTAAGCACGGCCAAGGAATTCTGCACAAAAATACGGTTTACCGAGTTTATATTTTCGTTGTCAAAATGCTAATTTTAGACCATTTTCCAATGGTTTCCCAGGGGTCGGTGGAAGGTTTCAAGGAGCCAGGTGTGACTTTTTACAAAGTTTCAACTGTACTCTTTGTAGTGGGTTGGATATGAAGAGCCACGGGGGTTGGGCCTCCGCTCACTAATCCAAAAACAGTAACTAAACATTCCCCAAGAAAAATATTCTTTAAATTTCATTTAATCTATTAATAACTAGAGACTGCTTACCGAATACTGGCATAAATTTATAATATTAGGCAGAACCTGAAATTTCCATTTTTCATCCCTGATGATAACCTTTAAGACATCCCTTCAACCTTAAGCTACATACATGTTGCTAAAGTTAAGCACTTTTTAGATCCTGGATGAACGCAATATTCGAGCTCATAGGCTCTTTATACTGGGGCAATCAAATACGAGAGTTCTTATAACCAAGAAGTTATAAAAAGTTGCTCAGAGACTCCACGAGAGGTAGTCCATCTCCTTCTGTCGTATATCCCTCGGTTGTATGGACCACAGAAAAATTGAGAATGATGCAGGCTCTGTTGGACTGCGTCTTTCGCGAGTTGTGCAACTGTTTACTAGCCCCTTGACACCGTTTTACATGAGTCCAAAGCTCTTAAAGCTGTCTGGCTTTCCGACATGATGTTGATAGTGACCCCAGTAATTCTTTTACAAAGACATGCGGCAGATAGTGTGTAGCTTGTCGAAAACTTAAACGTTAACAAAGAACTACAAAAAAAAATTGCCTAACCGGACTAAAAACAATTTCAAAACTCAGACAAAACATAAATAAATGCAAGACAACAACTGGACGAAATGAACAACACAATACAGTAATTTGAAATCTTCTACTCTCCTACATCTATATATGTACTTATGTAGGTTACTCGTACTTTACCTGCGCCTCATTCGATGGGTTCACATACGAACGCCAGTATTCGCCATCGTCCGAATACTGAACGATATACTCGGTTACGAATTCTTGTGTGTGCTTTCGGCCCATTGTGGCGATTTTGCGCGTTTTACGTGTATCACCCAAATCGAGTGTTAGAAAGTGATTGTAAGTATTCTCGACCGGTGTCCAAGCGGAGTCGCCTTTATGTTAGAGTGTTATTGGTTATTTACGCATTTTTATAGGTTTTTTTTATTTTAATAATTGTAGGAAAAATTAAAAAAGTGTGTTACAGTTAGTGTAGTATAAACAGTCGAGTAATTAAGTTTTAAAGATTAATTCATATTTCTAGCACCAACACACTCGCACCATGTTTTAAATTAAGTTTTAAAGATTAATTCATATTTCTAGCACCAACACACCCGCACCATGTTTTAAATTAAATTGAAATAGAATTTTTATATAGCAAAAATAAAAAATAAGTAACAAAAAAATTAGCGTAATACAGTTGCTTAGTAAAATTACGAAAATCTAGCAGCTAAATAATGCAAAAGCAAAAAGCTATTCAACTTTTATTAGTGCAGCAAATATAAAGCAAGTGAAATAAGCGCATTAGAAGCTCAA